GAGCATAGTAAGTAAATAGCAACATTGCTACCTTTCTTTTCTGAGATGATCCTGGAGTTAGAGAAAGTGATAGGCAAATAACCCTCAGAGGGCCTCATATTTTCTGAGTTCTAAGGCAGGCCAAAACCCACGGGGGCCCTGACTCTTCTCTCCACCTGCATTTGCTTTGGGTTTCATATGGGATTCCTGAGATTAGCTAACCCGACACAAGTTTAAATAGCCCTACCTTCCCCAGTGATGGCATTGGTCTGTTTTCCCAGCACTCTGGGAGACTATGGCAGAAAAATCACAAAATCACAAGTTGGAGTCCAGTCTGGGCAACTTAGCAAGAACCTGTCTTAAAATTAAAAAAATAATTGGAGCTTTAACTCATATAGAAGCCCTGGATTTAGTCATTGGTGGTGGGGGGAAGGAAGAAAAGACAGAAAAGTTTTGCCTTGAGATAATGTTATAAGGGAAATTGTAAAGGCATTTGCATTGTTTGTTTCTGAAACTAGGCCCATACATGAAATATTGAAGGAAGGTGGAAAACTTTCTCCAACTGACAAATACTTCTTGGGAAGGAGAAATCTCTGACTTAAAAGGAAGAATGGAGACTAATTCTAGAAACCAGTATGAAATGCTGCCTTCATTTTTCCAGATGAATGAGTGAAATGGAAACAAGGACTTAATATTGGGTTCACTTAGCAGGAACTCAGCAGTTGTGCTCAAACAACAGTGGAATCGTAGGTCTTTGTTGGTCATAAACTTAAAAACTTCCTGTGAAAGGTGTCAAATGAGTATAATTTTTGAGCACATTTTGAGCTGTGGGAAGGGTGTAGGACCAAACTGAAACCTGTAATTAAAGAGCAAGACACAACAAGCATGCCTGTGTCTGGGTAGGGCTGGTCCTGTGAGGCAGGCAGTGTAGCAGTTTAGGCCATGGCACATTGCATAAATCCTGATGTCCCTTTTTTCAGCTCTGAAAGGTCTTATTATTTATTATTCTGTTTATGTGGGAACTTGGTGATGAGTTAATGAAACTGAGGACCTAGACTTATTTTTAGCTAAAGTCAAGCCACTGCTGAAGTAAGCCTTGCTCTCAAGGTAAAACAAAACTATAGTCAGGTCAAATCTAAACAGATTTAAACTTTGCTCTGCATGCAAAGGCTGCCAAACAAGTCTGGAAAATTACCAAGCAGAAAGAATTTCAAAGGCAAGGCCCCTGCTATTAAACCTGGGTCTCCCACTTTGAGAGATGCTTAAATTATCCATAGCAGTGGCCAAGGTCTTAGTAAGGTATCAAATTCAGATAGCAGCCATATTCTATTATCAAAGATATCAGCACATCCAAATTGCTCTTTGTGAGAAATCATCAGTGGGCTACATGTTCTAAGCAACACTGAGTAGATAAAGATTCCAGCATAACATAGGAACATTAATATTTCCTTTTAAAATAAGTCAGACTATACAGAACTGTGTGTATAAACTATAAACTAAAAATGTAGTCAGTCAAAAAATTTGCTGTGTGGGAATTTGACCATAGATGGGTCCTGAGCCGTTTGCTTTGTTTTAAATACAGCTTGCATCCAAGCAGGGTGAAAAGTTTTCTTTTCTCAGCCTCTGTACCTCAAGGGCCTGGTTGACTGGAGGCTGTGGGGGCCACATTTCTAGTATGGGGCTCCTCCTGGCAAGGGTGTGGCCACCTGGAGCATCCAGGATCCTTAGCTCATGGTTGTTCCATTTTTGAGGTGCTGCTGAGTGAGGACCGTACTGTACCTGAGAATGTAATGCTTTGTGTTGGGCAGTGCACAGGCCTGGTTATTGTGACAGACCCAAGATGAGAGCCATGCAAGTGGGCCTGCCTGCCTGACATAGAAGTGGGTGCTGGGGTCGAACCCAAACATCTGCCCCTTGCTGGTGCTGCCTTCCCAGATGGCCCACAGGGTGCATTCTCAGGGATACCCACGACCCTTTCCTTCAGGATCTGACTGACAAGGTAACACTGCCTTTCTGATCACATCTTTTTGCAGAGGACATTGAGGATTGTTGTACTTCTCTACCATGATAGCCTCATGTCCTAAATTGATTAGTGCATTCATGCACCCACCCCTTCCTGTGATGATGCCTTGCCCAGGCCAGCTGGATTAATAGTCCTAAAGGGCCGGACACAGATTATAACTGGCATATAGACTCATTGTTAAAGCTACCACATAGTAGGTGGGCCTCAGAGTATCCTGGCTTGCCACTCTTCTGTGAAGAAACCATCTTTTCAAAACTCTTAGTTCCTTGATATACTAACTAGAATTTGCCTATCTAGTTTATAGAGTTGCACTAAGAACTGTGTCCTTTTTATATTTTTTTCTAGGGCATTGTAAAATCCGTTAGAGAATTATTATTGTTTAAAAACTTTCTTTTTTCAGGGCCAGGGATTTAGCTCAGCGGTGCTGCCGCCTACCTCCCAAGCACAAGGTCCTAAGTTTGATCCCTGGTACCCCCCCAAAAAAAAAAAACCTTTCCTTTTCCTTTTACAAAAGAATTTTAATGCCAGATAAAGCATATATTTGGAAAAAGTGGATAGCTAGAATGTCAGATTTATTTTAGAAAAACACAAATTAGAAAAGTGTAAGTGTGTCCTTTGAGGATAGCGCTTATAATCCAGCTTCTCCTGGCACCATGCGAGAAAGAATATAGCCCTACGAGCTCATACATGTGCAGTTGTGTGACTTGCCTCTGGCTGACTTACAAAGAGTGGGTGTTTACAACTTCTAGTTTGGAGGAGAACCGTATTTGTAGGAAAAGAGGCTGGGACCATACTGTCCTGTGAAAACCCATGTGGCCTTATAACTATAGCCTTGTGCTCAGAAATAACAGATACACTCTCAACATTCCTTCTGATGCCTGTGGCTAGGTGTTCCCAGCTGACTAGAAGATTAGGGAAGGTTCAGCTCTGCCCTGTCCCGCCGCCCCGTCACTTCGTGGGCTCAGCTCTGTGTTTCTGTCACAGACATGAGCCCCCCAAGTAATGACCTCAGAGAAGTAGCTCACTGTTACAATTAGAAGATGAGCTGAGCCAGCTTAGAAAAGGTTTCCTAACCACAAGGCTGCCGTGGCTGGTGCCCTCGGTTCCTAAGAGACAACCTACAATGTGGGAAAAATTTTTTTACCAGCTGCTCCTCAGACAAAGGACTATTATCTAGAATATATAAAGAACTCAAAACAAACAGCCCCCCCAAATATAAAGACCCTATTCAAAAATGGGCATCTGAAATGAACAGACATTTCTCAGACAAAGACGTAAAAGCAGCAAGTAAATATATGAAAAAATGTTCCATATCACTGGTCATTCGAGAGGTACAGATGAAAACAACACTGAGATTCCACCTCACCCCACAAAGAATGGCTGCTATCAAGAAATCACACAATAACAAATGCTGGCGGGGTTGTGGGGAGAAAGGAACCCTTTTTCCATTGTTGGTGGGAGTGCAGACTGGTGCAACCACTATGGAAATCAATATGGAGATACCTCAAAGAGCTGGGACTAGAGGTTCCATTTGACCCAGCCATCCCTCTGCTGGTTGTCTTTCCAAAAGAATTAAAAGAGTCATATCACAGTGATATATGCGCACCTGTGTTTATAGCGGCACAGTTTGTAATAGCTAAAACTTGGAAACAGCCCATCTGCCCATCAGTTGGAAACTGGATAAAGAAGATGTGGTTTTTCTATAAAATGGAATACTACTCAGCCATAAAGAATGAGAAATTAGATTCATTCATAGGAAATAGATATATTTTGAGAATATACTGCTAAGTGAAATAAATAAGTCACACGTGTGTAAATACTGAATAGTTTCTATAGTGTGAAAAACTATAATAGTACTCATGATCCTAATGAGATAATTGACAATGTGAAATAGGAAGAAAAGGGCTAAAGGTGTAGGGAAAGTGGAAAGAGTAGGGGAAAGGGAATAAGGGAAAAGAAAAAAATATGAGAAAATGGAAAAATGGAAATAAAATGTTAGTAAATGGGGAAGGGAGGAGGGGGTGAAGGGAGGGCAGGGACAAGGGGAAAATATGAGAACCAAGACCTGTCATGTAAAGGTACAAGATCCCAATAATGAATGTAACTGTACTGTATACCTGAAATGTACCAATAAACTAAAAAAAAAAAATCCAAAGTAAAAAAAAAAAAAAATCATTCCTGGACTCTATCTTATATAGCTATGATTTTTAAAGTATGCCATTTTTCTTCTGTGCCTTTTTGCCTTATTATAAAATATAATTATGATAAAGTGTGGAAAGTTTTAAGCTTTACAAAAACTAGCCCATAAAAAAGGATTTCTTACAGCAAATAGTCATTGCAGAGTAAAACTTTGTGAACTAACCAAATTGTTAAAAGTAAGCTCATGACATTATCTTTTTTTAGTGCCACGATATAAAAATATAGTCAAGATAAGTCATTAAACTCAATTATATATATAAATATATATATGAAGATATATTTATATATATAATATCTGCAGGCTGGTTGGCTTAAACAAAAGAAATTTGTTGTCTCACAACTCTAGAGGCTAGAAGTCCAAGATCAAGGTGTTGGGAAGTTTGGTTTCCCTTGAGGCCTCTCTCTCGATTACAGATGGTGGACTTCTCTCTGTCCTCACATGGCCTGTTCTCTGTGCATATGCCCCAGGTAGCTCTTTGTGTGTCCAAATGTCCTGTTTCTCTGAGGATACCAGCCTCATTTTAATTTAGTCATCTTTTTCAAAGCCCTGTTTCCAGATACAATCACATTCTGAGATACTCTGCCTTGGGGTCCACACAGGAATGTTAGGGAGACACTGTTCTGCCCATCTCAGTGTGCAAATGTGAGACTATTAATATAATCAGTGACCTGGCCTCCTAGAGTGAAATTTAAATGAAAACACTTGCAGATTTCCTCTTGTGATTCACTGTGTTCGTGTGTGTAGTATTCTTGGACTGAGTACAGAGCTCTAATTCCTATGCCGTTTCTGTTTTGGCAGGCCTGGCAGCTGAGATTCAGCCACCTGGTGGGTTATGGTGCCAAATACTACTCTTACCTGATGTCCAGGGCCGTAGCATCCATGGTTTGGAAGGAATGTTTTCTACAGGATCCTTTTAACAGGTAAGAAAGGCCGGGGGAGTTTATAAAATATCCCCTCCTTCAGCCACAGTAACCCCATCCCTCCACATCCAAAGTCAGTGCCCAGAACCCAGCAGACCTAGCATACAGTGGGGTGCCATAGCTGACTGTGGTCCCAAACCCCTGTCTCCCCACAGCCATGTGGTCTGTAGCGGGGACCACCCCGGAGGGCCCCTGTTGGGCCCGTGGAGGAGGCTCCTTCACTTTGTGCCAGTGACCTGCTCTGCTTTCCCAAGCCATGCTGTGTGTGCTGTCCATGTTTCTAGTTGCTGCTCTCCTCACAGGCTCCTGCTCTCAGTGCTTCCTGTCACCTTGATAGGCTCCCTAACCGGGACACAGGCCTCTAAAGTTTCACTCATGTGTACACTGTCTTTGCTGTTTTGTACCCAACTCAGGGCTTATGACCCTTCCTCACTTGGGAGCTGCACTGTTCAAACAGGGCTTGTTGACATTTACATGCAGTTTTGTTTTGCAAATTACCTCTCTGCCTGCTTTTGGAACACTTGCCCTTGCTGGGGAGGGAGCACTGTGGGAAGCAATGGCAGTCTGGAGAAGGGAACTGCTCTACGGGCTGGCCATCCCTGAGGCAGCTCCTGCTGCCACCTGCACACATTCCCCACACCCTGCTTTCTGCCCTCCAGCTTCAGAGGCACCCCCATGCAGCCTTGTCACATGCACCTTCCTCCGTCAGGATAATCTGTGGTTTAGACAGCCAAGTCTGCCACTTTCCAGTCAACGGCTAAGTGTTCGTGCAAACTCCCTGGCCCACTCCCTGGAGTGTGTATCATCGGATTAGCCGGTGGGTGTAAATTGAAATGACTCAGGAAATTGGGACAGATAAATTTTAGTCATCATGCCTCCCTTCCTCAGAGCACGGATAGGACGTGCCACCAAAGGGCTTGGGAGGGGATAGTGTGCAAGCACCTGGACTGGACTATCCTGTTTCCCTATTCGCTCAGTAAAGCTGGGTAGTAGATTTCCATTGAGCGGAGAGGTGTGGGGGACTTCAGGCCAGACAAAGAGGAAACTTTCTGCTGCTCCTTGATTTGACCTCCTTTGGATTCTCCTCACAAGACTTCCTCTAACAATAGGAACCAAGAGGAAGTGGGTTCTTATTCTCAAGATTCCTTAGAAGTCACTTTCTTTGAAAGCAAACTACCAATTATGATCTGATGTCATAGTTGTTTAAAGCATTTTATCTCCTCACTCCCCAAATAAACACATTTCCAAATGCTTCTCAGGCAGTTGAGAGAGAAGACTGTTATCTTCAGTGCTTTAACATGGTTAAAATAGGTTTTTAGGGTCTACAGTTTGCACATGGCATTCATGGCAGCTTGGCATAGCTGACCCTATTTGTAAGAGTAAACTGAGGAACTTGACTCAGATGATCCTGTAGGTCTTCTATTCTTAATTCTGTGTCCCTGCCACCACCTCCACACCTTTTGGCTTTTCATTCAGTTTGATACCAATTTGGATTTTTTTCAGCACTTAATCACATTCAGTTTCAAAATCTTTGAACTTGAATCTGATGTCATAGAATTTTTAAGTATTTTACGGCTTGGTACCCACATGTTATTTTGCCCTTTCCAGACTATAGACACTTGGTCTGCTTTTCAGATTTTATTATTTTCAAAGGGTCTGCACCCAATCTTGACTGTAGTACAGCAGTTTCAGAGATTGCAACTCACTATTCAAAATTTCTATAAAATGGGCAAAATAACATCTTATTTGAAGCAACTATACTAGGAAAGCACATGCTATTCTAAACATGTATTTTCAAATATTTATATCCTGGTTATGTGTGCCTTCTTGCCTAGACATGTAGTTGCTGTACTTTCATGGGCATATAAAAGTTGGTAAAAGTGCTCACTGGACTAGGAAATTCCAGACCTCTGTCGGCGCAGGCCAAGCAGAGTAGGGCATGCCAGGGTCAGGAGCTCCAGAAGAGGTCAAGGGACCCTGAGCTTCCAGGCCAGAGTCTGGGCAGGGACATAGAGAGGCCCCGCCTCTGTGCAGGTTTCCTGCTCTGCCTTATTGCTAACTTCAGAAAGTAACCATGGTTGACATTTGGTGCCACTTTTGATCCTCTAATGCTATCAAAAGGTCCCAAGAGAGACTGTCCACAAAATTATCTCTACAGAAAGGTACTCCAGAGCTAGTGGAGTGAAAACAGTGTCAAAATTGATACAACACATGTCATCAGTCATGTTAAAAGAATAACATTTTCCATAAAATATCAAAGATTATCATTAAAGCGCTTGTTTCCAAGTATCATTAAAGTCTTCATAGGGCAGGGGTGTAGCTCAGTGGTAGCTTGCCTAACATGCACAAAGCCCTGGGCTCCGTCGCCAGAATCCCCAAGGCCTCCCAAACCTTCCTTCTTGTGTTATTGTAGACAGTGTTCGTTATAGACATCAGTGCCACATCTGTATACCCTGCTGACAAAGACTGTGAAATCTGGGAACGAGCTATATTTCCTCCTCTGCCTTTGCCACCAGCACACCCTGGAGTTCAGTTTCCTGGTCACTTAGTTGTCACCCTGGGCCACAGCATTCTGCCGTAGTATCCCCCCACCACCCTCCCAGCCCCTTTGCCTTCACTGTGCTTCTAGTGTGTTTTTATTCTCTGTTACACAGACTAGGATATCATCAAGTAATTTTAATATAACGCATTAACTGAATAATCCTTTCTACAAAAAGAGACACCTTGCTAACAAAACAGAAAGCCAAAAATACAGTTACCCATTTACAGTAAACGTATCACACCTAGTTTTATTAATTTTAGAGTCATCTACAAGCAGAATTTGATTTTTAGAAGCAAAGAAATAATCATCTAGGGCCCACTTGTCCCATGGCAGCAGCTTTTATGAAGGTAGCTCCCTTTGGGAAACTCAAGACATGTGTGGATGGAGCTGGGCGGGCTGTGGAGTATGTGTGTGTAACAATGTTCTCTCCCCAGGGCTGCTGGAGAGCGCTATCGCAGGGAGGTGCTGGCCCACGGTGGGGGCAGGGAGCCCATGCTCCTGGTTCAAGGTAAAATAAAACCATGGCACTATCTTCACTGTGATCTGTGGTTTATGTGTTATATGCTTTGATGTCAGCTTGAGTTATGTTTTTGCACCGTCTATAATGAAAGCTGCTTTGTATTTTCTCCATGTTTCTTTAATGCCTTTACAGAGATTATTAGCTATGTATTTTGATCAATAGATTTGGGTCCCAAATAACAAATTGATTTTTAGTCACAGCAGATCGACCATGTTTCAGCTTAGAGCTTTCAAAACGTTACTCTAGTAGGAAATTATTAAATTTGTCATAAATTCTCAGAAAATCTGCCTCCAGATTTTAACAGGTCAGATATTTTTTTCAACCTAAAGAACTTATTATTTCTTCTTTCCTCATGTTTTTCTTCTGAGAAATTCCAAGGCATTAGAGTAAGTTTTTTTACCTGTTAAAAAATTAAAACCTCATTAAATTTTTCCTGCAATATCATAGTACTTGTTTTCCTGTGATTTTTTTTTTATTATTTTATTTTATTTTATTTATTTATTTTTTGGTACCTGGGATAGAACTCTGATCTTGCACTTGGAAGGCAGGTGGCGGCACCACTGAGCTAAATCCATGGTTCCTATGATTTTTTTTTTCTTTTTATTGAGTTTATCAGTACATTCTAGGTATACAGTACAGTTACATTCATTACTGGGATCTTGTACCTTTACATGACAGGTCTTGGTTCTCATTTTTTCCCCTTGTTCCTGTGATTTTTTTAAAGTAAGCATTTAAATTTTCTTTTTAAATTGGTGTCTTTTTGCCCTACGTAATGATCACAATCATCTTAGAGAATTTGTACCTGTACATAACATGTCGTAATTCTTTTTTCCATTCCCCTCCCCCCTTCAACCCTTCCCCATTTACAAAAGTTTCATTTCCATTTTTTACCTTCCATCCCCCCCACCTTCGTTTTTCGTTTTGTTTTGTTTTGTTTTGTTTTGTTGTTTTTGGTATCAAGGATGGAACTCAGGACTTTGCGTTTGCAAGGCAGGTGGCGGAACCACTGAGCTAAATCCCCAGCCCTGGTCCCTTTTTTTAAATCTTCCCTAACATGTTCTTCCTACTTCCCAATATCTGTCCTCCATTTACCCTTTGAGTTTCTCACAAGAGAAACAATGTGATATTTAAACTTGTGTGTTTGATTTATTTCACTTAAAATTATAGTCTTGAGGTGCATACATTTACCTGGAAATGACTAAAGTGTTCTTCTTGGTAAACTTTTTTTTTTTTTTTTTTTTGGTACCGGGGATTGAACTCTGGTCCTTGCGCTTGCGAGGCAGGCAGCAAAACCACTGAGCCAAATCCCCGGCCAGGTTTATCCTTCTTTATGGCCGAATAGTACTGCATTGTGCTATATATAAATACCACATTTTCTTTATCCATTCATCTATTGATGGGTATATTGGCTGTTTCCAAGATTCCGTTGTTATACATTATGCTTCTATAAACGTGGGCTTGCAGGTATTACTGTGGTATGATGCTTTCAACTTTTTGGGGAAGCTACGTAGAAGGGGAATAGCTGGGTCAAATGGAACCTCTAGTTTTAGTTTTTTGAGGAGCCTCCATCCTGATTTCCATAGTGGTTGTACCCATTTAGACTCCCACCAATCATGGGTAAGGGTCCCTTTTTCCCCATAGCCTTGCCAGCATTTGTTATTGGTTGATTTCTTGATAATAGGCATTCTTTCGAGAGTTAAATGAAATCTCAGTATTGTTTTAATTTGCATCTCTCAAATGACCAGTGATGTTGAACATTTTTTCATGTATTTATTTGCTCTTTGTACTTCTTCATCTGAAAAGTATCTATTCATTTCTGGTGCCAATTTTTTAATTGAGTCTTTAAATTTGAGGGGTAGGTCTGATTTTTTTAAAGAAATTCTTTAAATATTCTAGATGTTAGTCCTTTGAGGAATAGCTGGCAAAAAAATTTTCCCATTCTGTGGATTATCTTTTCACTGTGTTGGTGGTTTCTTTTACTGTGTAAAACCTTTTTAATTTGATAAGATATTGTTTGTTGATTCTTTGTAATTCTTCCTGTGTGGTTAGGATTTTGTTCATAAAGTCTTTGCTTTAGTAGGTTTTTTTAATGTAAATATTTTTGTGGAAAGTTTAATTGTACATGGAAATGACCATCATGATTTTTTATAGAATGTACTTACAGATTTTTCTAGGAAGATGTGAATATGTTGGATACATTCAACCAACATGTTGACAATTATATTTGTAGGCTGCACCTTGTATTTAGGAAATAGCAACTTCTGGTGTTTGGGGATTTGTTCCTTGAGATAGTTGAGTGGGTCCTGTAGTAATTGGTCTGATTTCAGTATCTCCTTGCCTACACCAGTGAAGCCCTTTTTAGCATAACACTAGATCCGTACCCTCAACTATTCACTTATTCTTCATCTATTCATGTTTCTTGAGGGCTAATTTTTCCCCAGGCTTGATTATCAGACAAGCCCTGCTCTGGTGGAGCTTTGTTAGGCAGGACATTCTCCAGGCTCCAGCACCTTACACCAGGGCAATTTACAAAGCAAATCAGACTGCACAGTGATCGCACGGTATCTCATAGTCACCAGTAGGGTGGCCTCAGGACCATCCTCTTTTCATAGAGCTTGTGTTGTCACAGCTTCAGCCTACCAGTGGATCCTTACTGGCTCTTAAACTTTGTTACACCCAGAACTGTTTTTGTTCGGTTTTTTTCTTTAGTTTTGGTGTTGTTTTGGATGGAACCATTTTATTTGCTTTTGGCTATTGTTGAAAGAGGGTATGACTCCGTAGCCCAGGATGGCCTCTAACTACTAGGTTCAAGCCATCCTCCTGCCTTAGCCTCCCAAGCAGCTGGGACTGCAAGCACATATCACCATGCCCTGCTACAACTAGGTTTTGTTCTGTTTTGTTTGCAACATTGAGAAAAGAACCTAGGGCCTCATATATGCTAGGCAAGGGCTCTACCACTGAGCAGTGGAATGGTTTTAATGATTTTGATATGCTTGTTCATCTAATCTCCTTAGCCAAGCTTTGAGGTATAAAATACTAGTATCCTCATTTTACAGATAATAAAGTAGGCCAGGCCCCTGCCCATGTCTTGAACAGTGAGTAAAATAACCAGGATACAAATGAGGCTTCTTGAAGCAGTCAAGCAGTTTCTGCAGCCTGTGAACAGAACATCTAAAAGGGTCTGCATTGACCCAAGCAAAAGTGAAATTAATTGGCTTATCATAATGAGCAATTGATTATTTAAATTATGTATTTTTTTAAGCTGGTTGTTTGTAGTGCTGTGTAGACTGCCCACCAGGAGCTAAGAAGTAAGAGATGTGCCCAGACTGCTTTCTTGTGGAGGTAGTTTCTGTTAGGTGTAGTGCCTAGTAACCATGGTTACTTTATCTGTTCTGAGATCAGGCTTTAAATGCAGTCTACATGTAAATATGAATTTCCACATGGTTTCATTTTTTTTAAAGAAAGTCTTTTCATAGTTTGTATTGTGGCTGGTGTGTTTTCCTACTCTGTTTCTGACAATGGTGCAACTACCTTGCTAAAATCACTGTTCTTTGTCTAACACGTTTTTCTATTAGGAAGCTTAATATTTTCTGCACTAAAGTTCACAGTCATGAGAGAAAAACAAGTTTCTGGTTCAGACTAGAAGTGCTGAAATATTCAGATCCAGTTCACACAGACAACAGAATGATTCCACTTTTTACATTAGTAGTTTTCTTCATGTTGGTCCATCCATGAAATCTCATTAATCCACATGATCTACTGCATTTCAGAGATGGAGGGGGTCCTATGAAAAAGCTGTGTCCCTTGTCACTCTGTAGCACTGGACTTAGCAGTCCTGCAGTGTCTTATTGTTTTCTTGTAAGCCACAAACTTATGCCTCAAAACAGAATGTCTTACGCGAGGCTTACAGCTTTAACTTTGAGATTATCCCTAGCATGATTGGAAAAACTACTGAGATTTGTAATATAAAAGCATTTCCAATCTAGTTGGTATTATTCTTCTATGAAATGTGACTTTTATAGGTGCTCCATAGACTTTATTTAACCAATTACTAGATAATTCTAGGAAGTAGCAAAAAAAACCACTAGAATACAGTGGACCCTTGACTTATGAACTCAGTTTGCAAGGGCTGGTTGTAACTCAGGTTGCTCAGTTGAAGGTTCATGCTCCTCTACACAGCCTTCAAAGTCTCTCTCCTTTATACAGGCAGATCTCAGTGTCCTTAGAGAAACATTGGCCCAGAATTTCACAATTAACTCCACACATGAAAGGGTGTTGTAATGTTCCTTCCAGAACTCTTTAAAGGTTAAATCTGTATCTGAGATCATCTGAAAGTATGAGCAGCTGGCATTCGGGTTATAACTCAAGGCTTTGTAAGTTAAAACTAAAATTCCAGTCTTAACCCAAGTTGTTTGTATGTCACGTTGGTTATAACTTGAGGTCCACTGTATCTGCCTTCAAATTATCTGCTGCTCTAACCAAATCACAGTTTTCTTTACCTACCAGAGGAAAGCTTCAATTTCAAATGAACTCCAAGCTACTTCTCAGCCAGAATCCCTTTGCATTACACTTTCAGGCTTTGAATGGTACACATTCAGAGAAGGCAGAGAGGGGCAGTTTTTCATCTGTGAATAATAATACTGCATCGGTACACTTTAGATCCCTTATCGTTTCCAGAGTGAGTTGTCCCTGGAGAAGTGGTCTCTGTCCATTCCTTCTGAGTTCCTCTGCTCTTCTGGTCCCCACTGACAAGCTGAGCCTTAGTGGTCAGAACCCTGTCTAAAAGGTCCCAGAGACACAGAACTCCTTTCTTTTTTCCCTCTGGTTTGGCATCTTGGTCAGTTAAAAGACGCTGTGCTGCCATGATTTCCTGCTCTCTGACTCCCAGCTGCCAGCAGTTTACTCTGCAGTTTTTTACCCAACTCTGTGAGAAGGGATCCTCATAGGAAAAACCCAAGTTGCAGTAGCAGGGGCTCTTAGAGTCTGCA